CAATTGAAGAGCTAAGATTTGGCCTCTGTGATTCTAAAATAAATTTAAAAAAATTAGACTCACAGACCAAGGAAAGCCACGGTTGAAAATGTTCTTTAACCAGGCATAAGTTGGTAAAAGGAAAAGTAGGCCTAGATCTACTTAGTAGATAAAATCTCCTCTTGGGGACAAAACCAGAATTTGCATGCTTCATCACTACATAAGAAATTACAAAGTAACAAATTATAATTATGGGTCAAATTGTTGGTCAGTAAGGGGGAGAAGAAAGAGACCCCCCAAAAAAAAAAAACAACAAAAAACAAACAAAAAACAAACAAAACAACAACAACCCAACAACACAAAACCTTCGGGTCCAGGATTCAAATCCACACTCATACACTTCAAGTGCAGACACGCTGTCCATTCGGCTATTAGAACATCAAACGACCAGAGGATGTAAAAGCTTAATATACAGCACTGTTTTAGGAAAGGCAACAACATAGATCAAGATGTTGACATCTTGTTTTCTACTTCTACAACAAAGAAAGTGAGAAAGTCGGAAACATGGGGAAGGAAGGGGGTATCAATGAGGCAGCGGGCATCGGATCGGTAGATGAGGTCTGGAGGAAACTAAAAAATGGCGGAAAATTAAGAAGCACAGAACGTTGGAGAACGTAGACAATTATGTTCTCTAACGTTTATGTTCTCTAACGTTAGAGTACGTAGACACTTCCTTGTTCGAAGGGAACAGCTATATAAAGCGTGTACGTAATCGCACCTGGACATCGCGATCGCACCTGGTGGGGACAAACTAAAAATAGAATTCTCACCTTTTACGTACCTGTCGCGACCTGCGACAGACGGCGAGACTGTACGACAATAAACGAGATTTGATCGTGCCCCTCTTCAGTGGAATGGCTAAATAGGGACACCCGGAAGACAACACAAATCCATGTCTGCTTGACAAGTTGTGTTTGGTCCAGATCTGGTGTTCTGTGACATTTAGAAAATAATGAATTCTTTAGAGTAATAAGGCCATCAAGTCTAGCGACATTGCTTGCTATAAACTCTGGACTTTTGAATAGCTGTGTGTATAGGCCAGTGAACGAGTTGTCATTATCCGGAAAAAAGATAGATCTAGGCCACTCAGTTAAAGTTATATTATAAGACAGGCTTCTGACACACTTTTAAAACTTTAAGCTATTGTTTAGGCTGCTCAACACGCTTTTATTTGGGGGGGAAATATACTGAGGTTTATTCCAGGTACCATGGTATTTTCAAGCTAAATTAATGCAATCTCAATCCAATGGTGGTGAGACAGTGTGAAAGAAGCTAAACGACAGAAGAATATGGGCAGCTCAGGTGGGTTTCACACCTGGGCAGTGATGTTACCAGGTGCTGTTGCTTTTCTTATCTGGCTATCAGTCTTTGTACCTCCGACCAGTGGGCAGATTACACCACCTCCAAACATTAACAATCGCCCAACAATAGCCAATGACCGTATCTACTTCCTGGAACATATCCCAAAGAAATGTCAACCCCCTCTGATCACCACATTTCCTGGAGGTGGCATCATAAAGGATGGAAGCCGAGCCCTGCTCAAGAGTGCTAGTCCCCACATCATCAAGGGCAATATTGAAATTGCTCCATCAGGATGTCTTTATATTGAGCCTGGATCTGTTTTAAAGTTTGCACCTGGAGTAGGCATGATCATCAATGGCACTCTGATTGCTCGGGTAGGTGGAAGTGATTTTGTTGTTGATGCTGTCTTTAAGTTAAGTATTATTTATTCCCTACTTGATCAGAAACACAGTCAAACCTGCTTTATTGGATGCCTGTCCAAGACTATCACCAGTACCTGAACAAACAACCACTTCCCTTTTGTGGATTAATTAAAAAAATTCTGTCCCCAAGACATCCACCTGTCTTAGACACCCACTTTTCTCCTTGGACAATTTGTACTCTACAGTGTCTAAAATAGAGACGTTTTAAACACTACTGTACACTAACAATTACTTTACTTCTGGACTGCATCCCTTCTATACTCTTAACAACAACTTGCAAGCCCCCTCCTGCTAACTAACCTGATTCCTAAACCCTGACAATCTGACTGCCAGTCTTAATCTGATGCTGGTCCACTTGATGGTATTGATGGTCCACCGCAATCATGCAATGTTTCTATTCTACTTGATGGTCTACCGCAATGTTTTTGTTTAGATACTTAATGGTCTACTGCAATGTTTCTCTTCTACTTGATGGTCTACGCCAAAGTTTCTGTATTCCGCAATGCTGTTCTAACTGTTCTACTTAATGGTCCACTGCAATTTTTCTGTCTACTAAATGGTCTATCGCAATGTTTCTATTCTACTTGATGGTCTACCGCAATGTTTCCAGGGTTGGTGATTTTTTTGATTTTTTAATCGATTTTTTAAATTTAAATCAAGATTTTTAAAATTTAAATCGGATTTTTTAAATTTTAAAAAAAATGTCGACACAGTTTGGGATTTTTGGTTGCTAAAAGTATGTTCTTTTAGTGCAAAATGCATTGTCTTTATTTTAACTAATGATTAATTTAAGCAATCGCAAAAGAAAGCCTTAATCTGCTATATATATATATATATATATATCAGTGAATTATGGCTACAGACAAAAAAATGAAGAAAATGTCAGTCTAAAAGGAAGGGGGGGGGGGGGGGGTTATTATGCATAAATAAACTTGCATTTTATTACAGTGTGTGTGTGTGTGCGCGCGCTTGTGTTTGTCTAAAAAGAAAAAGAAAATGTTAATTTCAATAATGAAAAAAAAAGTAAATTGAATACTGTATTATTTTACAGTGACAGGGGGAAAGCAGACTTTTAAGCATGCTTATATTTTAGTCTACTAAACCTTATATCTGTTTTATAAAACCAAGGAAAGGAATTCTGAATGTTCAAATATGTAAAGACTGAATACATTTCTTTAAAAGTGATTTAAATCACTGGTTTTTATTTTAAAAATCAAGTTGATTAAAATATAAAAACAATCAACTGATTTAAATCAACCCAGCTCTGATTTCAATTGTGGAAAAAAAAAGTAAATTGAATACTGTATTATTTTACAGTGAAAGGAGGGAAAGCATGAATATATTAGTCTACTAAACCTTATATCTGTTTTATGAAACCAAGGAAAGGAATTCTGAATGTTGAAATATGTAAAAACTGAATAAAAATAATTTTTAAAAAAAGTGATTTAAATCACTGATTTTTATTTTAAAAATCAAGTTGATTAAAATTTTTAAAAAATCAACTGATTTAAATCAACCCAACCCTGAATGTTTCTGTTCTACTTAATGGTCCACTGCAATGTTTTTGTTCTACTTGGGTCTACTGCAATGCTCTCCAGCTTCTAACTGTTCTACTTAATGGTCTACCTCAATGTTTCTGTTCTACTTAATGGTCTATCGCAATGTTTCTGTTCTACTTAAACTTAATGGTCCTCTGCAATGTTTTTGTTCTACTTGGGTCTACCGCAATGCTGTTCTAACTTTTCTACTCAATGGTCTACCGCAATGTTTCTGTTCTACTTGATGGTCCAACACATATCTTTCTGTTCTACTAAATGGTCCACTGCAATGTTTCTGTTCTACTCCAATGGTCTATCGCAATGTTTCTGTTCTACCTAATGGTCTACCGCAATGTTCTGTTCTACCTAATGGTCTACCGCAATGTTCTGTTCTACTTAATGGTCTACTGCAATGTTCTGTTCTACTTAATGGTCTACTGCAATGTTCTGTTCTACTTAATGGTCTATCGCAATGTTTCTGTTCTACTTAATGGTCTATCGCAATGTTTCTGTTCTACCTAATGGTCTACCGCAATGTTCTGTTCTACTTAATGGTCTACTGCAATGTTCTGTTCTACTTAATGGTCTACTGCAATGTTCTGTACTTAATGGTCCACTGCAATGTTTCTGTTCTACTTAAACTTAATGGTCCACTGCAATGTTTCTGTTCTACTCCAATGGTCTACCGCAATCTTTCTGTTCTACTTGATATTCTACCGCCATGTTTCTGTTCTACTTAAAGGTCTACCGCAATGCTGTTCTTTCACATGTTTCTGTTCTACGTAATGGTCTACCACAATGTTTTTATTCTACTTAATGGTCCACTGCAATGTTTTTGTTCTACTTGGGTGTAGGGGTGATAGTATGAAATTACCAGGTACCCTGTGAAGGCCTTACAATTGAATGCATTATCGTAGAAGATTGTCAGGTAGACTGGTCAGTTTGGAGTTACTTCATAATTAAAAGGTTGACCACATTATTATGGTACACCGGACACCGTCAAGTGGACTGGCACCCTGAATCTTTTCTATGCGCATTTTTAACATACTTTTTTAGTGCTTAGTCTTTCTTTGCATCTGTGTCCCTGTCTTGTTATACATTAAACTCGAAGGAGATGACATCTTTCACTGTCTTTGCAGAAACATTGATTATAATATGGATCATAATAAAATAATATTGGTGCTCTTTGTAAAAATTAGGGACTGCTGGATTTTCTTCAGTTCAGTTGAGTTTTCGTTTTTTTCGAAAGATTTTTCTAACAGAATATTTTTTTAAAATGTTTTTTTTTCTTTTTATTAGTAGCTATTTTCGGATTATCTTACTGTGTTCAGTTTATGTGCACTCCACTGTGTCTTTGTTTGTGTATGTGTGTGTGTGTATGTGTTAGTTATTGAGTGAGTAAAGAGAATATATGCAGTCTAACCTCGTTGTATTGCCACCCTTGGGATGAGCATGAAGATGGCAGATAAACGGGCGGCTGCTGGTTCAACTATAATATACATGATGTATTCAGAGCTGAGTCTTCTCTCTCCCTCTCTGTCTCTATCCTGTCTTTCTCGTGGGAGAAAGATTATCAAGTGGGTGGTTGGTGGGTGCTCTGGTGGGGTTTGCTCCTTCTTTCCTATCAAACATCTATGGTCCTGATCTCTCGTCCTTCTTTTTTGTGTTTGTTACTCTCTCGTAACACATCTAATCTTCGGCACTTATATGACCTTATTGTGTTGCAAGTGCCGTAAAACTCTTACAAAAACTAAAAAAACTAAAACTAAAGATTATCAAGTAGCCAAACAGTGGGTGTTGTGTGCCGTTGTGCACCTGTGGTGGTCAGTTGGCGGTCAGTATGGCGGGCAAATTTACATTTAAAATAAGGACTGTATAACTCAGTCAGTTGGAAGATGGCAGTCTGAAGGCCCGAATACTATCTTTATATAGGTAGGTACTCCTTTTTGTACTTTGGCAAAACCTGGCGGTAAGCAGGGCAGGTGGTATAACAGGGCTGGGGTAGGGGTGGGGGGTGCAACAAGGTTTGACTACTAAATATATAGATCATATCTCAAAATTCGACTAGTGTTTTTGTTTTCTGTTTTTGTAGGGTGATGTTTTCTATGGAGGTTGGGTTTGGGTGGAAGTGGAAGTTTGGGTTATTGGGTTATATTATGTGTCCTGGGATCTTTGAGAAACCTCTCCGGTACCTTGACTAAACTTTAGTGGTGTGATATGTTCTGGTCATAAAATTTTTGAAGTTATCATGATTATTTTCTCAGGGTTTTTTTTTCCTCCACCAGTTTAATGGATGTAAGCTAGATAGCACCTGTGCTGTTTCTTATTTGTAGGAAATTGATGTTTTTTTGTTTTTTTTGTTCAAACAATCAAATGAGTTTATGTTGTCTTTTGTGTGTATGAGAAGTTGCTAGGATGTATTTTTTGTTATTTTTTGTTATTTCTCAATTTCAGGGGAGTGAGGAGGAAGGGGGCCGTATTGTCATGACCAAAATGGATGGACCTTATAATGGCCGCCCCAGTGGAGACTGGCAGGATGATGCTCGGCTATCTATGGGAAACACCACGAGAGATGGTCGGCTGGACTTGAAATACAAAAACAGATGGAGAGCGATCTGTACCAACTATAATAAGTAAGGGCTGCTCTGGTGGTTTGGTCACAATTATTGGGTTGGGTTGAATTTTGTTTTACACTTTATAAAAATTACACCCTTTCTGCCAAAAATGTTGTGTGTTACTTTTCTATGACTGTCCTTAAGACAAGTTAGGCACTGTGATTTTGTTACATTAAAATTTTTTTTGGTTTTACTTGTCACAAATTATGTTGCTTACTCAATTTATGTAACACTTGACACTGTTCACTGCTTTTTGTAAAATGTGATGCCATACTGGCCTTGTTACTACTCAAAGTATAATGCTTTACCTGCCTCATGCAAACACACTATCTCTTCCCAGTAACAGGCCCTATTTGTTACATTATCATTTGTCCCCATCTCAAATTGATAGTAAAATTAATAAAGTGTCAGGACAAGAGCAGATTAAATTTTGGGTAATTTAAGGACATTAGAAAGTTGTTTTGTTTTTTTCTTTCCTAAAGTGGAAATTAAGAAAACTTCTTTTAGTTGGCATTATTGAGTTGTGATTTTCACTCATGTGTTCACAAGTTTAGATAAAAGTAAAGGATATTATAAGGATACAGCAATTTTTAAAATCTAAAATCTTCATCATATTTTTGTATAAATATCTTGCTTTGTTGCTGGCTTTGTTCTGAAGGGCGGCAAAGCTCTAGAATTTCTACGTTTGCTCATTGGCCTTGAAAACTAATCCTAAGTGTTATAGTACTAGATGGTTAAGAGGTGCAGAGTTTTGAAAATGCATGTAAAGTAAACCCTTTTGTTGAAATGACCACTGTGTAAATGGCTGCAGTCCCGGTGTTAGTTATATGTAATTGCAGAGGAAGAAATGACTTTGGCCACCGTCTAGTTGTTACCAGTAACATTCAAAGAGTTGAGGTGCTATTCATCAATTTAATTTATTTTGACAGCTTCACGGAGATTGATGCTAACGTAACGTGTAGACATCTAGGCTTCCTGAAAGGCAATTTCACATACCATTCGTTCTCTCGTAACCTGACGGAGTACATTCTATGGGAGAAGCCAGATTGCAAAGGCGGTGAGAACTCCCTGTTTGACTGCCCTGGAGTGCAAAACATCAAGACTGGTCATCATATTTGTGGTGAGTTCTACAAACATTTGGAGTGAGAGTTGCAATTTTCATTTACTCTGGCCATCAAAATTATTGAAGTTTGGTAAGAAGTCTGGCATTTTATATAGTTGGCACAGTTTAAAAACACAAAACCCTCAGCTGTTGATGTTTAAGAAAATCAGAGTGTATGATACATTATAACATATTTATTACTTGGTGCTTGATTTATTTTTCTTTCATGTATGACATGTAAAGTAGCAAAATAGGATGTTGCAAGACTTCATTTTTCATTGTGAGAAAATAATTATTCAGAGGAGGTCTTTTTATATGTGAAACTTAAAACATTGATTTACTTCTTTTGATGGTGATGATGAAATTTGAACTGTCTGTGACCTAAAGGAATATAGCTTTTTTTTGTTACTGGCTGAACTCATTTGAAATGTCGATAGTTTACTGCTTTTTCTATGGAACTTTTATTCAAACTATTTGTTTAAGAGGTTTGAATTGATTTCATCTATTGTTCTTCCTCTTCTACTTTCCCCGCACTAGATCTCAGGGATATCCAGTTTCAGGTTATTTGATTCATAATGCACTGATTTATTATTTGTAAAGCCTTTGTACTCTGTTCCTTCTTGAAATGGAGTGTTGGGTGTGGTGTCCCCAGCGATTACCGTATTTGAAGGTTCTCTTAATCGATTGCACTGACAAGTGCTTTGTATAGTCTTGACTAGGATTTCTTTAGTGTTTTGCTTGGGTAGCCAGCCTGGGCAGGCATGGTCTTGTCTTTTCTATCTTTCAGTGGCTGTAGAGTCTTTATTGTGTTGTCTGTACTGAAGGGGAGCAGGTAGTCAATACTACCTATCCCAGGATCAAAGGTGGGAAAAGACCTGATTAAAAAGTAAAAAGCATAATGTTATCCTCCATCCATAATTTTCCAACTTAGAACACATGTGCCCCTCAGTCAACATCTCAACCGAATTGGAGTAAAGCATTTTGCTGCCTGCCCACTATGTGACTACCCCTCAGAGACAGTGGAACATCATCTGTTCTTCTCTAGAAAACTACCCGATTTGAGGGGATGTTTTCTTCCCAAGCTACTCCACACATCTAACTGCCTCTACTCCTCAAGACGACAATTAAAACAGACATGCAGCTATCACAGAATGGCATCATGCTGAAGAGTTAACGCTCAGATGCTACTGGATCGCTAACAACAACAACATCCTTTATTCCATGTCTGGACAATTGAAAAGTTGAACCAGACCTTTTTTTAAATAAGAGATGGCTGCATTGTTTTGGGGCTATGGAGCTCTCTGTGATATATTCTTTGTTTTGCTTCAGATGGTCAAGAGGTTGTGGGCTTTGAATGTGAAGGTCTCCGTCCTGGGCTAGCTTTAGACCACTGGCGAGGCTTAGACTTCTATAACTCCACTACAGAAACCAGAATACAGGTAGGTGTATCAAAGTTTCACAAACATTGTAGAAGGACTTAGTTCCAGTTGTAAGAATGTTTTTGTTTTTTTCAATTGTTGCCTGTATTTTTACTCGTTGCTGGGAAGTATGAAGGCATAAATCACCAAGTGAATAGAGTTTTTATTTCTGTTTTTGATAACAGTTTAATGCTCTTTCTGACAATGAAACTGCTTACAGTCTAAGAACTGCACATAGTCATTCTTAAAGTGCAAGATCTTTTTATTCTCCTCCTCCTCCTCCTCCTCCTCCTCCTCCTCATGTACTGCATGGTTTGTTGCAGGTTGGGAACACAGCCATAAAGATTGACTTGCATTGTGCTGGGGTTCAGCAAGATTGCCTGTAACAGCTGATTGAGATGGGGACACATCTAAAAATATGTTCAACAGCCTTGCTGCTGAAAAATGCATGTGCATGCTACATTTGCTGTGTTTGCAGGTCCCATTTTTTGTGAGGTGCTTTTTTTAGACCTCAGTGGCTGATTCTTAAGATCTTAGGCTGACAGTTGATGTTAGTCTTTGATGATTGCGATCACTGATGTCGTCACATGCTGGGTTGTAGGTTTGCTTGTCTCCAGTCTTTGTCAAAGCAGTACTTAAGTAGAGTCTTGATTTTTTAGAAGGTGGCAAGTGCATTATGTTTCTGCTTTTTGCTCTCTTGTTTTGCAAATATTGATGTCGTCACAAGCTGGATTGCAGTTTTGCTTATGTCCAACCTTTGTCAACATGATGCTTAAGTATAGTCTGACTTCCTATAAGGTGGCAAGTGCATGATGTTTTTGCTTTCTGCTGCCTTGCATTGCAAAGCTACAGCCTTTTCGTTGCCATTCAGGCCTATGTGAGTAGGAATCCATAGTACAACCTTTTTTTTTTTTTTTGAGTGATAGATTCATAATTTTTTTTCCAGTAATGTCTTGCTTAGGACAGCTTCGTGTGTGGGACAATGAAGTATACCTCAATCTGTAGTAACAAAGGATAAAAAAATAGTGCAACAATTACGCTTGCTTTGAATGTTTAGATTTATTTCTCTATGAATCTGAACGTTTTTTTGTTGTTTTTAAAATTTATTTGCAGCCTAATACGTACAACAATGTACACATGAAGGAGTCCCTGTCGTTCTTGGAGTACTTGGACATATCCTACACGGGACTGGACTTCTATCATGGACGCTCCGCAGAACCTGGCATCTACTACCAGAAAGCAGCTATCTCTGCCAGTCCACACATTCCGATGATGAACAATGTCACCATTAGATATGGTGCTTATGATGCTTTGAATTTCACCGAAATTGTGGGACCTATTCTTGTGACAAACTGTTCCATATCTCAAAACAGAGGTACGTATATATGCCATCGACAATGGACTTTTGTAGGGGTTTCTTTAGCTGTTTAGAATCAGTATTTCAATTCTCTTTGCACTGTATGTTTTGAGTGTGATTTTGTAATTCATTTGTCATCTGTGGTCACCTAAACAAGAAACGCTTTCTTGAAAATTTTTGCTCTGTCATTTTCTTTATAGTGGCTAAATGGCTATTTAATTGGACCAGTGAGCTGCAAAATGCAGGCTTTTTTCAGGGAGAACAGGGTGGGACTTTTTATTTTTGAAAAAGGCTTATGGCCTATAGTAATAATGATGATGATGATGCTGATAATAATACAATGGAGTCCAGTTATAACGAGAAGTCTGTTAAAAGACACTATTCTAAAACCCCGTTTTTTTCTCCTCTTTACCTTTGTAAATAAAATACTGCTATAGCGCTATCAGACAAATATGCGAGTCGGTTATAGCGGAATATTGCTGCTGCTGTGCACAGTGCATAGGCCAATTATACATAATGCAAAACCTCGCTAGTTGAGAAACTTGTTGGTGAACTAGCCAAACAGAGAATGGGAGAGCCCATGTGGGTCAACAGTGAAGGCCGGAGCAACTGAGTAGGGAGGGTGTGGCATGCGCAGACAAGCAGAACGTATCGCGTGATAGGCCAGTGTAAGCTAGTTTATATTATCAAGGCCTACCATGCCTCTCACTTCTCCGATGCGGGGATGGAGAGGTCACAGCAATGTGATGGATGTAGTGAATGTGTGACGTGCGCAAGCAGACAGAATGCTCCTCAGGGTGGGGTGGGGTAGGGAAAAATACAGCGGGCGAGTTAGCCTAGAGCCCTTTCTTTCTGATCGCCAACGCTGAGCTGAGTCCACATCGCAAGATCTAACACTAGAGAAAGAAACCTGATTCGATTTTTGATCAAGTAAGACCTAGAGGTCATGTTGAACAAAATCATCATCAGAGGAGATAGCAAAAAGAAATAAACAGAATGCCAAACTCATAGATTAGGCGTACTTTACAGTTTCCCTTGAATTTATTACTGGATCCCTTATAGCGAGAATCCTGCTATAACGGACATTTTGCTCCGGTCCCCTCCCTCTCGTTATAACAGGATTCCACTGTAATAATAATGATCAATTATAATAATGATGATAATAATAATAATAATAATAATAATAATAATAATAATAATAATAATAATATAATATTAATATCAATAATAATAATAATGATGATGATAATAAAGATAATAATAATGATAATAATAAGGATAATAATTACTACCACTACCACTACTGCTACTACTACTGCTACTACTACTGCTACTACTACTGCTACTACTACTACTACTACTACTACTACTACTACTACTACTACTACTACTACTACCACTTCCACTTCCACTACCACCACCACCACCACCACCACCTCCTCCTCCTTGCATTTTTATTTCAGTTACATAGCTTTTCTTCAATTCCTCATATAAAGTACAACCATATATTACTCACATCTGTTTTGGTGCAGAAAGGAAATGAACCAGTGTCCTGTAAATAGGATGAGTAAGAAAGTATTTTAGTACCACCACCACCTGAAACTCTTATCTCTACAGCACCTTGTAGTCTTGTAATATAGCATTATAGTACTGAGTAATTATACTCTAGTGATTTGCTTTTTAACAGGCTATGATGCTCTTTATCTAGTCTTCTGATAAAAATAATAATCATAATCATAATAATAGTAATAACAATAATAATGATAATAATGATAATGATAATAGTAATTATAATAATAGTAGTAATAATCATCATAATAATCATAATAATAAATAATGATAGTCTATCATGAACTGATGATGACTTTTAGGAAGAGAACTTATAGACCTTATTACAGAGATAAAGAGGGTAAAGTAAAAGAAACAGTAGCAAGCAACTTGTAATCGTCACTTACTCCATAAATTACTGCAGATAACAGTGTCTTTTCCTTTCCAAAATGGTGTGCTAATCTGCCTAAACATTGAAAAGTTGATTAAACCTTCAGCACTTATATGAGCTAAGTGTGTTGCAAGTGCCGTAAAACACTTACTAAAAAACAGACCTTCTAATAGTGTTGCTTGTGGCCATCAAGCACTATTATTTTTAGGAAGAAATTTCCACAAACATACCACTTGTGGTCTTTGGACCAGTGTCACTATCAGGATTAGACTTTCGATTTTCTTTCTTCTCTGACTACCTCAGCTTTACTAAGTCAGTTTTTCAAAAAAATCTTGCTGTCACATGTCACTGCTTTATGCCACTGTGATTGTTCATGGCAGAGGTTTTCCCACTTATCCACATCAATGGAGCGATCTTTTAGAGAAGATTTCTCAATGTCTTTATATTTGGGGGGAGCGGCATAATGTTCTGTCAATGTACTATGAAACAACGGTAATACAGTAATTATACTTATGTGGTTTCTCTTTGTTCTCCAGGTTATGGCATGTTTATCCAGTCCTCCATTGGTCACACCCTCATCAACATGACGGAAGTCAATAACAATTGGGGGGATGGCATCAAATTCTACATCAGCAACCTCACCATATTTGACTTCAGGCGCAAATTCCCACCACATTTGTCTTTCTGTGCATCCAGCAATTTTGAAGGACGAACCTTTCCTTACTACGAGCACATGGATTTGATACAAGTCAATGGGGACAAGTTAACCTCTGAGGCAGTGGGCGGATATTGTTCGAGGGTAAGAGGTTTTTAATGGATGCTGACTGGTTTTCAGGAGCCTCAAAAGCAGGCAGTCTTTTGAGTTTGGTTGAAAATAAAAGACAATTTATTTATAAACAACAAATCTACAAATTCTTGCATTGCTAGTCTCCCAGTTATCGATTCTGTCAACAAGATCTGCTTAGGGACATACCTGAAAGACCTATATTATTTGATGTTGCTTGACTTTCCTGTAGTTTGAGTTCACTTACCATTTGACCTGTTTTAAAGAAATAAGTACAAATAGTTCCACAGGCTAAACAAGATCCCTTTAAAAAAATTTTTTTAGTTCACTTTGTTTGTCTGTAGTTTCTAACTACAGTATACAATTGTCTGACATTTATGAACTGTTGTAAAATGTGTTGTCATATATATTGTTTAGCCAAAATGTTCATATCTATCATCTGTGGGGTTTTGTTTTTTCAAGCTCCAAATGATCGCTATTGTGTCTATATATTGTTCTTCCAGTCTAACAGCTATTCTGACAAATATTTTTTCCTCCTTTAGACCTTCAAAACAAAAAAAGAGATGAAAATATCAGTCCACTTCCTCATCATTGAGCGGGATCCAGATGCCTCTGGCTTTTTTGAGTTCTCTGACGGCGGGGCCTTTGGGAAAATGACCCGGATGGACATTAACAACGGGACGTTCCCACAGTCTATGACCACTGAAACCAGTATTCTCAATGTCAAGTTTAAGTACAACCGTCCCAGAGACATGGTGTGCAAGACGTTTCCTCCGTGTATTCGATTTCTGCTGGAGTTTACCAGTGATACAGGTAGGAAATGTGCTTAGGCTCGTAGGCTAATGGTAGTGTTTGTCAAATTTTTTTTTGCTTTCCTCATACCATATCTGCACAGGTCAGTGAAGAGGTGGTACCTGTGTTTTAGTATCAATCTGTGGTTGGATTTTGAGTCCGGGTCAGAAAGCTATAAAACTTGGGGTAAATATCTCTTGAGATTCTCTGGAAATTTAAATAAGCACCTCCTGGTTTTGATGCGAGGGTTTTTTACCACTTCACCACATTGATCCCCTTGGGGATTTTCAAGTTTGTCTTCTATTAAAATACAGTGATTTTTAGTTTGCTCAGATTTACCCTGTAGGATTCAGATTACATGATACTGAAACTGGGTAAGGACAAAAAGGATTAGAAAATCTTTACTTTAATAACTTTTCAGTATTTTTTAATATGGCAAACATTCACCCCCACCCAAAGGAAAACTAATGCATCATTAGAATTTGAACCTGCTATGCCTGGTCAACACTTCTCTGAAGTCCAGACTGCTGACTGCTGTGCTGTGCCCCTTTGTGGTAAAATTCTTCAAAATGGGATCAATATTTTTTATTCCATTTGTCTCCATGTTCTACGTGTGGTCATGTTTGTGGCACTTGAGACCACACACTACTTCTTAGCTCCGATATCTACAATGAAGTTATTTTTATTTGTTTTTTCTAATTTTCTCAAAGTATTTCATGGAAGGATTAAAAATATTCAGTTTTGGGAATCATTATCAGTATCTAATCATAGGGATGGCAAATTAGAGTGAAACCAGGCTATCTGAAGGGCCATTTTCAAAAGCTAAAATCTAAAAAATTATCCATGCTATCTATGAGCTAATTATATATTTGTAATTTGCACACACATCTTAAGAAAATAACTGTAGCTTTTCTTGGAATTGTAAATATTTATAATTTTATTACTTTTAGTAGATTTGAAGATTAGCAAGTGACAGAAATAGTCAAAACAGCAAGTAAAAAATCATAAAAAATATAAGCCTATTAATTTTAAAATTACAAAAACTATTGTTATTTTATTTTAAATTGGATGATGCACTTACCCTCAAAATTTTATGTCTTTATCTTGAATACGGTTCTTGAGTTTTAGCTTTTAAAGCCAAGGAATTTAAAGTTTAAGGAAAGAGGCAAAAACATCACAAAATTGCTTTAAAGTATTGTGTTGGCTCACATTGATACATACTTTATGGAGCTATCTCTGTGAAATAGAACTTTAGGAGTACTTCCATTCGTTTTAGCACCTCATTTTCAAGGGAAGTTTCTTAAAACCCCAAGAACATTGTCTGGCCCCAAACTAGACCCCCAAAACCTGTGTATGACCTTAGAGTAGTGTCTAAATATGTCCAGCCCACAGATCATGGCCTGTCTGGCATTAATTGCTGTTTTTATTTTGGATTAGTGTAAATCCACGAGCTAGTCAAATGTTAACATTGGGCGGTACATAAACTCAACAATGGTTTGTAGATTACAGGGCACGTATACCTAAAAATGATTGAGTTAGATATAGATTTTCTAGGTCTTCAGAGAGCTATCATTTTCTTTGGGGAAGAGTCAGGGAAAAACCGGGTGTATCATTAATTAGCTGAGATAAACTTGGCATAATTCAAATCCACTTTCGAACCCATCACCCACACCCCCGATTTCCATTTTCCTGAAATCACAATATGAATAATTTGTTACATCTTCATTAGCAAGTGGTATGTTTAGAGAGTGAGAGTATTTTCTGTCAATTTTTACATATTTCTACTCAAGCCTTTGCAAAATGAAAACCCTTCCTTCAGCACATAGCCGCTTTTTCATATTGAAAAAATTGTAGATTGTACTCTATCATAAACCTCCTCTTTTGAAGGGAAGTGCTTTAAGTGAATAACTGTATTCTCCTCAGAGTAGAAATAAATGAACTATGGATGACTTTCTTACAAATCTTTCTTTTGGATGTGGTATTCCCACCTGTAGTGAAGCTTGTTTTAAACAGCTCCCCATAGAAACAAGATCAATACAGTCATAATTTTGGAATAAAGTTTCGTTTTGAGGTCTTGCTAGACATATTCTCTGTATAATTATATATTCCTTACATTTTTGTTTGTTTAATTTTCAGGACCTGCTCAGGACTTTCGCTTGATAATGTCAAGTGTTCACAACAATACAGGTTATGGGGTCAATGTGCAGGACATGCGCAGCAAGATGGTCATCTCCAATGAAACGATCATCGCAGACAATCAGTTTGGAGCCGGTGTGCGTGTATACAGAGGAGCGGGAGAGATTGTCATCAATGGCACCCGTGTTTTTCGCAACGCTGATGCTGGCGTGAACATCACCTACTCGGGGGGATACCAGCTGTTTAATAATTCGGCCTTCGAAGAAAATTTTGGATATGGAATAATCACAGAGTATCTTAAACTAAATCACACCAGAATTGAAAAAGAAAATAAAATTGAAGTGGTCAAAGCCAACTTCACGTGGAATGAACTGATAGGGTTGAGAATGGGCAACTACTGTTCAGGCGCAGACATTAAAGTGAATGAAAGTTACTTTGCTTATAACTGGGATGAGGCTTTTGAATACTTATCTTGTAATATCACCACCATGCTCAGTAATAATCTCCGAATTGAATTCAATTCCTTTGAAAGCAACTTTCGGCATGCAATTGTCATGCGCCCTTTGCTAAATACGAAGGGTATTATAACAAATTGTACTTTTGAAAATCATTCTCTTGGGGTGATAAGAGTAGACAATGGCTATGACCTGTTGATAAGCAGATGGTATCGAGACTTTCCTGTTGATTTCAACCTATTTGAGAACACTTTCACCGGCAACACAGGGAGGTATGTTGTGAACTTTCGCCTCACACAATACAGTGCAGTGCAAAAGCTGTTTTGTAAGTTCAATTTCTTCCAGGGGAATACTTTCAACAATTCATTTGACTACCTGAACCCGCGGAGCAGAGCAAATGCGGTGGCTGTGCTGTCTTCTGGTAACGTCCAATTCCGTAGAAACTACATGGACAATTCTGACTCACTGAGAGAAATTGCTACTCACTCTGTGGACCCATCTGTCAATATTGACGCCAAAGAGAACTACTGGGCTCAAGAGATCAACAGACAGTCAGACTATGCCAGGATCTACGCAGCTATTTTTGACCAGGTATGTGATTTGTTTTGATGTTTTGTGTTTCTAGTTATTTGAAAATTAGCTGGGTGGTTAATAGAAGTTCTGGTGGGATCTGGTCCTTTTAGCTCTTTCAGTTTTTGCTACTATTAGCTAGTAGTATGGACAACTCTTTAGCAGTGTGCAATGGGTCTAGGAAATATCTCTTTGAAGACCGCATCTTGAGAAACTTGAAGCTGATGAGATAGCAACAATTAAGAGTGATGCGTGGAATTTTCTTGAGTTCTACTCGCAAAGAAACCTTGCTAACACATGGTGCCCGTAATGCCATCAAGGCTCTGCTTGCCCTTGACCATCTGGATGAGGTTCCAACTGTTGCTGTAGTAAACAGCCCCAATGACGAACTGAGATCAGGTGCAGCTCGGGCCAAAGATGAAATACCTTGAGATGATCAAGATATGGGAGAAATGCCCTTACTTTAAAGGAAGTCCAACTGTTGCAGCTTTGTGTGGATTGAAAGAGAACAGGGAATGCACAAAACATCCAGACTGCGCCAGGCCCATGAAGTCTGTTGCAGTCGCTCTCTTTGCTGGGTGATGAGATGGGGTATTTTTTACTGCTGGCTATGTGACTGCAAAGTGTTAAGAGTTAAACACCAGAGTCGGCAAAGCTTTCAGGATTATGACCAAGCTATCAGAGGAAACATGAGACAACAGAGATCTGTTTTAAGACCAAGTGAAAATCTTCCTGTGCATGTCGTTGGTGCTGCAAGAATCCACGAAAGTCTGTTTTAGGTACTTTTTACGTCAGCGACAAAAAAACTAATTTTTATTGTGTTGTTTCTATCAAGTATCGTCGAAAGGAAAAAAAATTGTAAGTCTTGACCATAGCCTTAAACTGCGTTTTTATGATGTTGAAAGGTGCATCTTTTAATGATGTTGAAATGTGCATCTTTGATAGAGCTTTGAGAGGTTGTAGAAATTGAAAATTCTCCAAATTTGGACTTAAATGGATTGCTTAACTGCAGCAATAATGTGTTGTGAACCCCTGCTGTATGTGAGTGAGGCATGTGGGATGTACTATCTTCAGGAAAACAAGCCCAAAAGTTTTCACATGAACCGCCTTTGAAAAGTCCTTAGAAAGATGGTAGAATAAGATTACCAATACAGTAGTGTATTTACTCTGCTTGTAGTGCAACACAGACTCTGATGGTTGGGACAACTTTGCCTCATGGAAATGGAAAAATGCTAAATGGAGAACCAGAGAAGAGAAGGCAGAAAAAAAAGTCGACCTCTTCTAAAATGTAAAGATACCTGCGGGAAGACATGACCTCAGCATTCATCAAATTAGATTTTGATTTAGGAAGACTGCTGTGGATAAAAGCTGAAAGTCAAAACCAGTCTCAATTTGAAGAAGTAAATAGCTACAAAGGCATGCATGTATATTCCATGTGAAGAGACTAAATTTAACACAACAGGGTGCTGGGTATTCTTTATTTCCTTGCTCTCATTACAACCAGCATTTTCTGGCTGGCATTTGCCATCATCACAGGATTTTAAGAAATAGTGTTACATAGACATTCATTTTTTCGTGGCACAGATTTTATAAATCATACAAATAAAGGAAAGATAGACAGATAAACAGAATGATGTCAGTAATGGTTGTTAACAGGTTATAACATTATTTCTTTGCTTTATACACCAGGTTTTACAGTGTGTATGGCATAGTGGTTAAGCTCTTTGTCTTACTCACAATTGATGTGAGTTCAGTTCCTTGGCTAGACAGGAAAAATATTTTATAGAATTTCTCGGCAGCCTGTCCTTTAAATTGTGTTGATGGAGACAAAAACATTCTCAACAAATGGCAATTTAGTTTCTTATCCTGTTTGTGAATTTTGGGGGATTTCATTGGATTTAGCACATGGAGCAAGCTGACTTGTTTTATGGTCTGATGTGGCACAGAAAGTGTTTACTTTTGAAATAAATTTGTCTAGATGCAAGTTTAGGTGGCACCTCCTCTTGTTTTTCTCTTTCAATACATGCAGTCTAGCATGCATATAGCACACTGGGGGGGGGGGGGGGGGGTGAAAATCTCTCCATTACGTACATTTTTGCTGTGTATGTGTTTTACGTACAAAGAATATATTTTTATAAGAATAAAGTGGGGATTTGAAAATCAGTTGACTATGTGTGTGTTTCGATATGTGCCTGTTCGCTAAGTGCAGGCTAGACTGTAGTAAGGTGAAGGCAGCACATTTGACATTTCAACAGAGTAGCTTGTTCTGTCAGAGAAATATGAAGACTTATACTTATGGACATTTTTTTCTGATATTTCAAAAAGTGTTTTGAAAGCTGTATATTGATGAAATTATGTAGAGAGTATTTTTAATGGTTTGGGGGGGGGG